CCGGGACGCGAACTGGCGACCTTCTTGCTGCGAGGCAACGATGCTAACCACTGAATCACCTTGCAGCCACACATGTGATGTGCAGAAGTAAAAAACAATAGATATACTTCCAGCTGGTCCAAGACAATGCTTGCAAAAATCTCAGTCTATTCTGTTTGGAATGTAAAACATTTCAAACACAATGATCTCATAAATTAAATTATGTTACTTGGCTTTTCCTCTTCTGCATTTAACCTTACGTTTGCCAACTGGCAGAGCTTCATTTAAATAAACTATATTCGGAGAAAATATTTTTCTGTTTTAGCAGTGACTAATGGGACAGTGAACACAGCAGGTCCAACTGCAGCGTGAGTTTTAAGGATGTTTTAATCACTTCAACAGCTGGGGTGTGTATTTGCCCGTTGGGCTGAGTGCAGTGCTTCCAGCAAGCTGGAGGTATGAAACTCTGCAGCAAGTATGTGATAAACTGTTGAAAATAATGAATCGTCATTATGGGAAAAGCAAGAAAAAAATGATCCTGTTTTATTTATTCATTTATTTTTACAGAGTTGAGACTGAAACAAGCACAGAGGGGAAGGCAGCAGGTAGAGAGAAGAAAAACAGCATGGAGGTGAATAGAAGAAAGAGGTAGTCAGATGTAAAGAGATAGCTCGGTCCTAAAAAAAAAATTGTGGCAACATGGTTTTGATTGTGTTGTATAATTCAGAACGTGATTCTAAATGGGGCGAATCAACTTGCATGATGTTGCTGCGACATGCCGCATTTATCAACTTGCAAAATCTCCTTCTGACAACTTCTTCACATGCAGGGGTTGACTTAAGCAATACGATCGCAAACTGCAAAAAAAAAAAAATCTAATCCACTGACAAAATCTGGCATGTTTACAAAGTTCTGCGTAACAACAGCAGTCTGGTGCGTGAATAAAAATGACAAGCAGGCTTATTTGAAGCATATGGCAACAATGAAGTGTTCTTTGTGAGGATGAGCTTGTGTGTGTGAGAGCGTGTGACATGGAGAGCTGAAGTTACTGCAGCCGGCTCGTCTCCGGGTTTGTTTTTCATTTCACTTTTTCCAGCTGATTGTGAACACTGAGCCTGACAGTAAAACAGTGATGTTATTTGTGTGACTAAACAACAGTTCAACCCAAGAGAATCTCCAAAGAGTGTTTTCCTCTGCACGAAGGAACGAGATGCTCCTCTGACGTGCTGCTGCACATCTTTACAACTAAAACTTTCCTATGTGTGTTACGGAGTATTAGATGGTCAAAAGAGGACTAAATATACTCTACATTTTTTAAATGTAAATAAATTCCATTAAAAGATCCACACTAACAATGAACAGACTCCACTAACAAGTACTGTGTGTGTATCCAGCCTGCTATTTCATTCCTCTGTGCTCTATTGTTATCCAGAAAGCCCATCAGTGAGCCATATTGTAGCTCTTGATGACATGTTTCTTCATTATGATGAACATGGGCACTGTAGTTCATTTTCACTCCCACACGCACACACATTTTTGAAACTGTTTGTTATGGGATTGTTGACAATAAGAAAAATCTAGTCTTTAATGGCATCAATGCTGACCCTACCCAGAACTGTCAAAGGGTTTCCAATACTCTTCTTTTGGCACTGAAATGGTTTGTTGAATAATCCATGACTCAATCAGCTAAATGTTAACTTTCTGAACCCCAGGCAGTTTCTGAGCATTTTTCACTCCTGTCACAGTTTTACTTACTGTGAGCTAATTTTTCACTGCAATATAAAGTCTTGCACATCTATGGAAACAGCACAACCATGATAAGAAGTGGAGAAAACTCAAACATGTTTTTGTCTAGTTTAACAAAGTTATAATGTCATAATTCCTAAAAAAAAAAAAAAAAAAAAGTTGAATTTCTCAGATTATTTTACAAAAATGTTAACAACCTGTCATCATTTTACCGGAGGCACACAGATGTCACCAATAAGGGAAAAATGGTGGCTCGACACACTGTAAGTATTTTACTAATTACATTTTTAAAATGCTTCTGTACTTGTCTCTTATCTGCTCTGTGTAAACACAGCCTGCAGTTCAGCTGAAAAGTCCCTTCATTTTTGTCTCATGATTGCTTGTTGCAGCTGAGTCACTTGTAGCTTCTCAGTTGCAGAGAGGAGTAGAGAACTTTTAAGACTTTTTGTTGTTGTTTTTCACATAATTTGGCTAGTGCAAATGATTTACTTGAATTTTTAAATGACAAAGTTATTTTGATGAACTATCACGATGTTAAGCTTAGATTTGGTTAAGGTTCCTGATGAAAATGAAAGTCACACATGATAAGTTCAAGGACTCCTCCTATTCCTTCTGGTTTTACAATTTCTGGCTAATATATTTGGCATAATATGGACTCATTTTGGTAAATAACAAGCGCTTTTGGGATTCAGAAGACTAATTAACTACAATTTTGACAACTGATTTTAAAAACTCACTCTCTAATTTGAGAATTTGCCACTTTTCTTTTGTTTACTTTAATTGTAGATTGAATATCTTTTTAGTCTGTGACTGTTAGTTGACAAAACAAGCACTTTTAAGTGGTAAATGGACTGCACTTATACAGCGCTTTTCTACCTTAGCGGCACTCAAAGCGCTTTACAATGTTTTCTCATTCATACGCACATTCATACACCAATGGTGACAGAGCTGCCATGCAAGGTGCTAGCCTTCCATTGGGAGCAACTTTGGGTTCAGTGTCTTGCCCAAGGACACTTCGACCGTGGAGGGGCGGGGATCAAACCACCAACCTTACGATCAGAGGACAACCGCTCCATCACCTGAGCCACAGCTGCCCATTTAAGATGATATAGGGGTTCTGGGTACTTTTTGATCATTGTATAGATCATGTAACTGCTATTGTTCAGTTGTTAATTAAAGTACTGTGGCCCTGAACACACATTTAAGAAGCATGCTTATAAACGCAGGCATCATCTTAAGAGGACAAAAGTCCTTGACAAGAAGCAATAAAACACATTCCGCAAATGATTTAATCCTACGAAGTGTGAAGGGAACTTTTCAAACACAACTGATGGCATTCATGTTCTTAACCAACAGAAGAGACGTCTGGAGTTTCAGTATTAAATTCAAGAGCATTTTAAATAGGAGTATGAGTGGAAGACTTTTGTTTTAACCCTTTGCTTACGTCCAAAATGTTTCTTTTCGTAGTTTGATAAACACGGGCCCTGCTCTTTTTCATTGTGCTTTGTTACTCACAGGGGGCGTAGAACATGATCAGGGCTGCAGGATGTTCCTCCAGGAAGCTGTCAAAGGACTCATCGGTCAGGTGGAAGACCGGCGAGTCTGTCTCCGACCACGGCACCTCGGGGGTCTTCGGCTGTGGGGGCTGAGGGCTGAAACGGGAAAAGGAAGACGGTAAGGTCAACAGAGGTGAGAAATACTTTAAAAAGCAGACACATTCCAGCTGGTGTGTAATCTGTATGGAAACAAGAAAAAATCAGACACAGCTGTAGTCCACACTCCACCCAGTATGTCACACACACGCACACACACACACACACACGCACACACACACACACACACACACATCTGGACTGAAGCAGCTCCACCTTGATGACAGAGCACAGCGCTGCTGCGCCAAGAACGAGTGGACCGAGATATAAACAAGTGCACACTCCCTGCGCACATAACTCATTAAAAAAAGACACACAATCACTCTCCCCTTTGCAATCTTTTCTCTTCATCACACACTCTGGCTTAAACCAATGTGCTGAAGCTGCATGAGGCTGGATAGCTTTTAAAAACACTAGAATTGCACAACTGGAGTGATAAGAATTCGCCTCCAGACGCATATCATGTAACCAGAACGTCATCTGTCTAACATGCATTGGCGATATATAAAAAGCTCAGGATCAGGGTTTATCAGGGAGTGAAGCAACACTTAGACCTTATCAGATGACATCTTTGTCTGCTCAGATACAATCACCAAGGATGCTAACTCTTACCTCTACTTCTGTGCCCAATTATTGCCTTGTCATTAGACTCTAGAGTAACTTTTGCAAGATCAGTATCGAGTAAATTTCGAGAGATGTTATGATATGCAGAGTACAAAAGCAAGTGGCTTCACTAGTTCAATGATACAGTACAATTTCTGACTGCTACCACTCCAGTTGGCAAAAAAAAGAAAAAAAAAAGAAAAAGAAAATAGCTGTATTCTTTGTCCTTGGTGTAGAATTTCCTGTCAGTGTAAATAGCAAAGGGCAATGATTTAGTCTCGTGAAAAGGGTGGAACAAGTGAAACTGAGGTGGGAATAAAAGGAAAATAAAACTGAGACAGCTGAATCAGAACATAAGAGAAACTTCATCAAAACTTGGTAGGTGAAGTTGGGGTGATAAATGGGGGAGACGAGATAAAAAATCTGAGGTAGAAAGTGCTGCAAAAAGAGCACAATGGACTATTCGGGAAAAACCTTTCAGCACCATTTACTTCAAAACCCCTTTTCAGCTTTTCCTCATCTGCAGAATCTCCAGATAAAAAAAAAAAAAAAGAAGAAGAAAAAAAAAAAAAAGCCTCTGACACGACAAACTGAAAATGTGATGAGGCTTGCAGGAGGCCAGTCTTCCACCTTTCTTTTTTAACCATATGAAATGATTCATGTGCAAAGAACCGATCTAAATTTAGTGGTCAACGGTCAGTTTACTGATGGGAAATTGTATGGTTTCTCGCCAGACAGGGGGAGGTGTAACATAAAACTGAAATGTGTGTTTGTTAAACTCTGTTTATCACTTTCTTTTACTAAAATATGAGGTGTAATTACACTCAGGGTTATCATTCAGTTTTAACTGTTCTGTCAACTTGGCTACCTGATAGCAAACCTGGCAACCACTTTTAAATTATACTGCTGGGTCTTAAAATAAGCAGAGCAGTAAAAGCTTAGGACCGGGGAGGGAGTTGTTATGCCTCTGGGCGAAAAAGCTGGAATACATCCTCTGCCTGTCTCGCTCCGTTTCCTGATAGCTGTGAAAGTCTTGCTCTGTGCCCTCTGGCTGCAGCCCTGTGGATAGTTGTGGCTTTCCTGCCAGCCAGAGACAGGGGGTTATGGGCAGAGAGAGTGAACCAAGGTGAGAAGGAAAAATGAGACACGAACAGAGCAGGTGTAGATTGATGACACTGTGGCAAGGTGAGTCAGGGTGAGGGGAGGCAAGAAGAGGTGTGATGAAGACCACTGTAGCAGGAAAAGGTGATGCCAGACATTTAAGGTGAGAAGTATTTAGTTCAGAGGCCCAGTTCTGTCTTATTTTTCACTGAAATTGTTTTGGGCACAAACATGTTGAAGCTTCCACTTAACACATTTTGCTCCAGCATCACCTCCTAAAAAACAGTGACATGACGAGGACCGTACTTACTGCTTCATCCAGTCGGCAATATCCTTGGCTGTGGCTCCGTAGTTCTCATAGTGGTGAAGGAACTTCCCCTTCCTAAAAAAAGACAAAAGAACAGAAGAACAAGATGATCTCTCAACCATCTGCAGCCATGAGGAATAAACAGAATTAGGGCTTTGTTCTGCTCAAAGTCTTTTAAAGTGCTGCCAACAGGATATCAGTCATATGCTACAGAACACTTCTAGTAAAAGTTTTATTTCTACATTATTTCACTTTTTAGTAGGGATGCAAACTTTGAACACTTTTGACAATTGAAAGGTAGAAGCCTTATACAACAACACAAAATGAACTCGGTGAACATCATTCTGGGTCAAGATACAGCTGTTCTGAACATCACATGACATAAGCTTAGCGTAGACTATCGGGCATTGGACCACAATGGGGCCGTCATTGTAAACTTCGGCTCATCCACAGAATTGGAGCTCTGGCTGGTCGGCATTAATCATCACAGGAAACCTTCTCATGGTGGCACTTAATTAGCTATTCTCCCACAAGGCTCTTTGTTCACCAGCATGGAACTGGTGGTAGCCAGTGTTAAACAGGAGAAAGCTCCACCTGCTGGCATAACCAGGTACTGTAGCTAACCTACAATACTTTTCCTTCACTTTACGTTCTGCGTCATCAGTTAATATATTTTTACTTTGTTACATTATTAACAGCAATTTATCGATAAACAATTAGCATCACTAACATTCCAACTTTTTACACATCAAAACCCTTACCAACATTTCTCAAGCCACTCATAAAGCACAACACACTTCTGCACTGCTCAACACTCCAAGTTTGGTATGTTACTACTATTAACTAAGATTTGGAGATTTGCGATAGAAAATTTCAACATTAAATCAGCGTACCAAACAATAAATTCACGAAGGTTTCTTCTTCAAATTAAACAAATTCTGAAAATAAGGCAAGATCAAACAGCAATCTCTGGGGCTAAAAAAAGAGAAGCCCACGTAGAAGTGCCTAAAACCTGCAGTTCCTTAAACGGCCACTTGAGGCTGGTTCCAAAACCTATAGTAAAACGTCCAATGTTAAAGCAGAAATAAACATGTTTACAGCCTGGTACAAAGAAGAAGTTTTAGTCTCTATAGCCTATTTCAACAAAGTTTTGAGCTGAATGTTGCGTTATTCTATATTTGAAACCAGGGTTTTCTTTGGTACGCCAAATGTATATTGGTTTCAAATATTGGTTATCTATGGTGGCCTACGAGGGCAAATGACGTGCATATACACAAACACGCTGCATAAACATGAATGCATTGCATTAACAGTCACAAAATAGAAGTGCCACAGGCCTCTTGGGGCAATTTCAAGTCTTTACCTTTTCAGTCACTATGACTATATGGGTGCTGAAGTGGTGTTTAACTACCGTCTCCCTGTGTTCTCTCTGTTTTTAATATTTATCCATGGAGACGAGAGAATACATACCTTTTCATACAGCTTTTCCGTTAACTAATGTTACTCGTCTCGCTTACCGCTGTCTGCCTCTCTGGTAAAAAGCTCATTACTGCCCCTAGAGGCCTGTGGCACTTCAGTTGTGTGACTGTATATGCAGCATTTTCCTTTTGCAGTGCATTTCTATTTATGCAAAGCATTCATGTGTATGCAGCTTGTTTGTGTATTTGCACGTCATCTGCCCCCCGTCAGCCACCGTAGTTATCAGTTATCAAAAAACTGTTTAAATATGCAGTCAATGGGGAAAACAGTAATGGGAAAAGCAATGTTGCTAGAGTGATTTGTGGTTTCTCCAGATGTGGTTTTTGCCTTGTCAATTATTGTTTTTAAAAAAAATCACAATGTATCTGGTGAAAGCTTTATAAATAAGCCTTGTAAGGACAACCGTTAAATCTCAATAGTTTTTCATACATGATGCTGAGGATGCATCTAGTCAGTCCTCAAAAGTGGTGAGGTTTGATATCTTATCACTTTCTGCACTGAAAAAAAACCTGCGTGAGCAACAAAAAGACAGATTCTTCGAAACAGTCAAAGCAAAACCTAACAGCCCAGTTCCTTTTTAAAAACAGCTGGGTCAGACCGTTCAGAAACACAACAGTTTAAAGCCAAAGGGAAATGTTTTAGAAAGCTGGAAAAGGCTTTGACTGAAAGTTTGACAATGATGGATACCCTTCCCTCTGTCTTGTATTTTATATGTTAAGCTTAAAACTGCATACAGGCAATGCGAGTGGCCTGTTGTAATGCATTTGGAATGAGCTAGAAGCATTTCCCCAGCTCCACAGTCTGAAAAGATTCAAAACTTAAGCAGATTTTCCTCATAGGAACGAGTTTATCTACTCCATTCACTGTGACTAAGTGAAGGCTGGAAAGCGGACATGGTGTCTCAGCCCAGTGCCGAAGGATCAGTGTCAGTAGTTACTGGCTGTGGGCAGTGATTCTGCAAACACAGAGGGTGGTGACGACCGCAGTAACAGCTCCAGAGATACAGAGAGGACACTATTAAAGGTGATACATGATTACACACACTGGATTTGGAGCTTAAAACTTGCATCTTAAATGAACTGACTTCTGCAGTCGAGAATGGCTGCTTGGAATTCAATCAGTGAGATTTATGACCAAGTCTATATTCGCTCGCTTTATCTCTGCTGCTGTAAAGTACACCGAAACCTTGTAGAATCACGTTGGGAAAAAAAATTGAAATAAATGTCATTTAGCCGACAGTCCTTGGTGTTTTTCTTAGTTAAAGGACACAGCAAGGACAAAGAAGCAGAAATAGTTTTACCTTTGTTTGTTTAGTTGATAGAAACTTGAGGTGTTCTGTACTGTTGAGTCGTAAAGCTTTTTTAATCTGCAGGACTGAAAACATAAAAAGACCTTGAAAACTTGGTCTTGCAGCGGGTGCAATGGCGAGATAACTCTGACGGTGTTGATGCTGATTTACCCTGCAGTGATTAGCTGCTGTTTATCAGTAAGGGGCTCATTACTGAAGCCAATGGGCTCGGATGGTCGTTAGCTAGCCTCACGCTGACACTAATGCACTCCCAGCTAACGGACTGGCTCCGGCTCAGCTGCACACAGTGCACATGCATGCACGTGTACCTGCACAAACACAATACACACACACACAACAAAGAAGTGCACAAGTACAGGAAGAGGGTAAGAGCGCACACACACACTGACTAACCACAGAGGCACTTAATCAGTCCCGGTCTAATTAAAAGGCCAGGCTGGAATGAGAGAGTGTTTAATGTGGAAATGGGGATTGATAAAGCGAGTGCAGGAGAAATAAGACGCAGAGCACAGTGGCAATTCGGTAGCCTAATGGTTAGGGTGTATACCACAAAACCGCAATGTCTATGGTTTGACCCCTTTTGCTGCATGTCACATCCCACCCCCTCTCTCTCTTTTTTTTAATCTTTATTTTAGTATCTCCACTACTGCTACAGAACAAGAAAAACAACAACAAACAGAAGCAGAGCGGAAGCTACAGAGCGCCAGCACTCAGTTAACAACACTGTAAATATGAGGACAGTGCGGAGACGCTCCAGCTTGGAGGGGGGTCTGCATTAACAAACAAAATCAGTCACACTCTCAGCCTCTACTGTGTTTGTGGCTGCAAGCTGGGAATGCTTGTGTACATGTGAGTTTTTATGCATATTTAGACATTAGGGATGAACAATAAACTGAAATTATCAGATTTGATCATCGCTGGGATCTTTACCCATGCCTTCATC